CAGAGGTTATATTTCATAGGCATGTGCTAAGCGCGGAAGGGCTAAAACCAGACCCTAAGAAAGTAAGAGCTATAAGAGATATGCCGTCCCCCACAGATGTGAAAGCGGTTGACAGGCTAAATGGGATGATCAATTATCTGAGCCGGTTCCTGCGCAAGTTAGCTGATGTTATGACACCGATCAGGAGGTTGACTCATAAGCACGAAAGCTGGCGTTGGGGTGCAGAACAAGAAGAGGCCTTCCAGGCAATCAAGGAACTCATCACTAACGTACCTGTTCTCGCCTACTATAATCCGCAACTCTCCCTCGAGATTCAATGCGACAGCAGTCAATTTGGTATCGGGGCCGTACTCGTGCAGAATGGGAAACCCGTCGATTTTCGCAGTAGGACGTTGACAGAGACCGAGCATCGTTACGCCCAGATAGAAAAAGAGATGCTTGCAGTGGTTTACGCCGCCGAACGTTTTAATGACTATACATTTGGCCGAAAAACTACAGTGTTTACAGATCACAAACCGTTGGTTTCCATCGCCAACAAGCCGCTACATGTTGTTCCCCGCCGCTTACAGAGAATGCTTATTCGCCTTCAAAATTACGACCTAGAGATTGTGTATCGACCTGGTCCCGAAATGCATATCGCAGACACGTTATCCAGGGCATATCTGTCAGACACACCAAAGGAAGACGAAGATTCAGATTTCGTTCATGCAGCACAACTAGTAGCGGTTACCGAGGAGCGACTGAAACAACTCCAGCAGCGCACGGAGGAAGACGGGTTATGCAAGCTACTGAGGCAGACAATACTAAGTGGCTGGCCCAAGAACAAGAAAGATCTACCAGCAGAGCTGGCCCCGTTCTTCCATTTTCGTGATGAACTCATTGTCCAAGATGGGTTGATATTCAAAGGCGATAGGATACTAATCCCCAAAGTGTTGCAGCGCGCGGTGACAGAGCTTGCCCACTATGCACATTTGGGAGCCAACAATTGTGTGGCCAGAGCGCGAGAGCTAATGTTTTGGCCGGGAATGACCAGCCAAATACGAGATTACGTCTCCAATTGTCTGGCATGCCGAACACACGACGTACGTCAGTCAAAAGAACCGATGATGCTCCGTGACGTTCCGGACAGGCCCTGGCAGATGGTTGCAGTAGACATCTTCATCCACGATGGAAAAAGTTACTTAGTGTTGGTTGATTATTTCAGTGACTACTTTGAAATCGATGCTCTTGCTACGACCAGTACAGACGCAGTGGTGAATAAGCTACGATGTCAATTTGCTCGTCACGGAATACCGGAGGTAGTAGTCTCGGACAACGGGCCGCAGTTCGTTAGCGCAGAGTTCCGAGAGTTCAGCAGAAAGTGGGATTTCCATCACCGACTTACTAGCCCATATCACAGCCAATCAAATGGAAAGGCCGAGTCGGCGGTAAAAGAAACAAAGAAGGTGCTTACCATAGCTAAGGAGACTCACGAGGACCCTTATATTATGTTGCTGGAACGCAGAAACACGCCATCAACAGAAATTAGGGCAAGTCCGGTGCAGCGACTCTTCAGCCGGAGGACAAGAACGTTGATACCAACTGCGTCATATCTGCTAACACCTGAAGTATCACCAGCGACCTCGATACACGAGCGGTTACGAAACAGAATGGTTAGGCAAAAGTAATACTACGATCGCGGGGTGAGAAAACTCCAACCTCTAGCAGTGGGAGAAGAAGTGTGGGTGCAACCAGTACCAGGATCAGAGGGACACTGGAGGAAGGGAGTTATTCAGAGCCGCAAGGGAGAGAGAAGCTACGAAGTGAAGATTGGGGGCACTACAATTAAGTGGAACCGAGTACACGTCCGGAAAGCAGGTTGTACGCGTTTTACCCAGATGGAAAACCGACAACAGCAGCCAAGACAGATACGCGTCACCCCTGCAGAAGGAAGGAAACTCACACGCAGCGGAAAGCAGTATGGGACATACTACGGCGCAATCCTAACAAAACAAAAGGAAAAGGATGTAACGGAGTTTAGGAAACCAGTCCAGTATGCTCGACCTTATCACCTAGGCGCAGATTACCGGAGTCAGCGGATCAGTTCGATCGAGAGAACGCGTGAACCCACCGGAAGTCACAGCGATGGCTGGACAGCGAATCACGAGTGACACATGTATCCAGAAACCGACAAACCGGATTGGACAATAGAACATAGAGGGCGCACTGGCAACTCGAGAATCGCCATTAACGGCAAGTTTCAGAGTGCAAAGCCAAATATGAGTGGTCCAAAAAAATACTGCCAATCAAATGCCAAGCACGAAAGACGTGATCAATGCGCGAGACAGGAAGACAGCGACCGAAGAGGAATAACATAACCCAATGAAATAAAAGGGGAACGTAACCAATGAGGTGAGCCGAAAAACAGGAGACCCACTGAGAAGGCTCGAAGATTAAGTGTTTATTTCCTTTAAAGAGGCTACACTATACTGAATAAACGTCCGTTTTCCGCCCGCCGCCATCGTGCCTTTTTGATCGCGTCCGTGTCACTAACAACTACCTCACCACTCACACGGGCACACATTAATGAGTCCGATTTCTTTCCCGCGTTGCACCATCCCTCCTGTCCTCCGCTCGTGACACTTCTATGCTCCTTCTGGGGAACAGGAACGCATCTTCTATATCTGTTTCGCCCGTGTATCTTTGCTTCCACGCCTCCAATTCTGACAAGCCCGGAGTCGTTCGATAGCGTGCGCTTTGCTTGACCGTGGGTGTATCATTCTCCCCGGGGTTGTCTCTTGAAGATGCGATACCGGCGGTTTTGTCCGATTTATTGCATCTTCAATAAATTCCCCACCTGCTTTGCTTGCCTCGGGTTCACTCACGGATGCCGCTCCTGTCCCGTTTTCGTCCCGTTCTATTGGGCCTGGGTTTCTCCAGCGAATCGCCCCCATTGCATCGGTCTCTCTATTGGTCCGCCTCCGTTTTAATGATCTAATCGTCCTTTGGGCAAACGCTGCTTTCCGCCTTCCTACACCCGCCCCTCCCCGAAGTTGGTGTTCTCTCCCATGCCACGGACGTAACATAGCGGCATTCATCCAGCTTTGTGACGCCCCATCGTGCACTTTGACATTCTCTCCTTTCCGGTCGAGTACCGTATAAGGGCCTTTCCAGTATTCATTGAAGTTCCGTGCACCCGGACCTCCAAATTCCGGACGTTCGTGATTTCGTATCGCTACTTTGTCACCTGCACTGTATGGTTGCCACTTGTGAGTCGCGTACCTGGCATCGCAGATGCGCTTATTCCTTATCTGCTGAAAATTGATTTCTCTTCTGGCGGTTGCTTCCAAGCGTTCGCGATGCGTTGGTGGGAGATCCCATCCCTGCGTTTGCGTAATGCATGCATCGATTGGAATTCTTGGCTGCCTGCCAAACAGTAATTCGAACGGGGTAACTTTTGTGGTCGACTGTTTGCTGGTTCTATACGCGAGGAGGACCCTGGACAACGCTTGCTCCCCGGTAACTTTGTACAGTTTATCCATGTTTTCATCGTCCGATTAAAGCGCTCAGTCTACCCGTTGGTCTGTGGATGATACGGTGACGTGCGTCGTCTCTAGATGTTCCACTTCTGCAATACTGCCTGAAACGCTCCGGACTCGAAACAGGGTCCTTGGTCGGTTAAAACACACTGAGGGACTCCATACCTTGCGGGTATGTTGAACTCGAATACCTGTGCCACTGTTTCACCTGTCTGATCCTTAATCGGTATGGCTTCTATCCACCGAGTGAAATGGTCAGTCCTTACTAGGACATACCTGTTTCCAGACCGACTGACAGGTAAGGGATCAAAAACGTCCAATCCCCAAAATTGAAATGGTTGGTTGACTTCGATAGATCGCATCGGGGGCCTCGTTGTATCCAAATCGCGGTTTGTTTGACAAGATGGGCATCCACGAACGTATGCCGCGACTTCTTTTCTCATGGTTGCCCAAAATACTCTCCACTGCAGCAGATCGAGGACTCTCTCGAATCCTATATGGGCGTCGTCATGGGTCACTTGCATCACCCGCTCCCGTAGATTCTGAGGGATGAAGAGTACTTTCATTCCGTTCATTGTTCCGAACAAATTGCCGTTCGCGACCTCTAGCTTATCCCAAATCCGAAGGAGCTCCTCGATTTCTCCTGACGTCACCTCCGGCTTGGTCCCGGCTTGTAAATGAGTGCATACTAACCTCACCAATTCATCCGCGCGTTGGCTTTCCAGTAAGCTTCGATCCTCAGCGGTGACTCCACCCACCGGTATGGCCGTATCCGGTACGAACTCGTCCAGAGATGGGCGCGATAACATGTCGGGCATCACGTTCTTCGTCCCATCTATGTGCTCGATCGTAAACGTGAATTTCTGGAGCCGGTACGCCCACCTTTCTAGTCGTCCCCGCAGAGCCCTCGTTGTCATTAACCATGATAGTGGCTTATGGTCGGTAACAACATGAAATTCAGTTGCTAATAAGTATGTTCTCCATTTCTCCAATGCCCACACAATGGCAAGACATTTTTCTCCGTCGTGGAGTACTTTTGCTCTGTGCTGGTCAGGACTCTGCTGGCATATTCGACCACACCGGCTGGTTGGGACAGTACAGCTCCGACTGCAACGTTGCTTGCATCGACCGCCACCGCAAATTGTTCTCCAGGGTTGGGTAGCCGTAAACACGCTGGTGCATCCGCAACGTACTGCTTAAGTTCTTTGAAGGCCCGATCTGCATCAGGAGTCCACGCGAACGATTCGTTTTTATGCAGAAGTTTTAACAAGGGACTTGTCCTCTCCGCAAAATGGGGCACGAACCTCGAGTCATACGTTACCATACCGAGGAACGACCAAAGCTGACGCTTCGATTTCGGGGCTGCGAAATTTTTGATTGCTTCGCGTTTCTCTGGAAGTGGCTGAACCTGGCCATTCCCGACAATGTGGCCCAAACATACACTAGACTTTTGAGCAATCTGTGACTTTTTGCGACTGAGCTTCAATCCGGCTTCCTCCAGTCTTTGTAACAACTCACAGTCTGTGTGCTTCTCTCGTCAACAACAACAAAGAAAACAAGAAAGAAATCGGGAAAAAAAAAAAAAAAGGTAATGAGAAACAAACGAAGCAAAAATAAAACACACAAAAGAGAAAAATAAGAAAAAAACAAAATACCCCCCGCCCCCCCCCCCCCCCCCCCCCCCCCCCCCCCCCCCCCCCCCCCCCCCCCCCCCCCCCCCCCCCCCCCCCCCCCCCCCCCCCCCCCCCCCCCCCCCCCCCCCCCCCCCCCCCCCCCCCCCCCCCCCCCCCCCCCCCCCCCCCCCCCCCCCCCCCCCCCCCCCCCCCCCCCCCCCCCCCCCCCCCCCCCCCCCCCCCCCCCCCCCCCCCCCCCCCCCCCCCCCCCCCCCCCCCCCCCCCCCCCCCCCCCCCCCCCCCCCCCCCCCCCCCCCCCCCCCCCCACCCCCCCCCCCACCCCCCCCCCCCCCCCCCCCCCCCCCCCCCCCCCCCCCCCCCACCCCCCCCCCCCCCCCCCCCCCCACCCCCCCCCCCCCCCCCCCCCCCCCCCCCCACCCCCCCCCCCCCCCCCCCCCCCCCCCCCCCCCTCCCCCCCCCCCCCCCCCCCCCCCCCCCCCCCCCCCCCCCCCCCCCCCCCCCCGCCCCCCCCCCCCCCCCCCCCCCCCCCCCCCCCCCCCACCCCCCCCCCCCCCCCCCCCCCCCCCCCCCCCCCCCCCCCCCCCCCCCCCCCCCCCCCCCCCCCCCCCCCCCCCCCCCCCCCCCCCCCCCCCCCCCCCCCCCCCCCCCCCCCCCCCCCCCCCCCCCCCCCCCCCCCCCCCCCCCCCCCCCCCCCCCCCCCCCCCCCCCACCCCCCCCCCCCCCCCCCCCCCCCCCCCCCCCACCCCCCCCCCCCCCCCCCCCCACCCCCCCCCCCCCCCCCCCCCCCCCCCCCCCCCCCCCCCCCCCCCCCCCCCCCCCCCCCCCCCCCCCCCCCCCCCCCCCCCCCCCCCCCCCCCCCCCCCCCCCCCCCCCCCCCCACCCCCCCCCCCCCCCCCCCCCCCCCCCCCCCCCCCCCCCCCCCCCCCCCCCCCCCCCCCCCCCCCCCCCCACCCCCCCCCCCCCCCCCCCCCCCCCCCCCCCCCCCCCCCCCCCCCCCCCCCCCCCCCCCCCCCCCCCCCCCCCCCCCCCCCCCACCCCCCCCCCCCCCCCCCCCCCCCCCCCCCCCCCCCACCCCCCCCCCCCCCCCCCCCCCCCCCCCCCCCCCCCCCCCCCCCCCCCCCCGCCCCCCCCCCCCCCCCCCCCCCCCCCCCCCCCCCCCCCCCCCCCCCCCCCCGCCCCCCCCCCCCCCCCCCCCCCCCCCCCCCCCCCCCCCCCCCCCCCCCCCCCCCCCCCCCCCCCCCCCCCCCCACCCCCCCCCCCCCCCCCCCCCCCCCCCCCCCCCCCCCCCCCCCCCCCCCCCCCCCCCCCCCCCCCCCCCCCCCCCCCCCCCCCCCCCCCCCCCCCCCCCCCCCCCCCCCCCCCCCCCCCCCCCCCCCCCCCCCCCCCCCCCCCCCCCCCCCCCCCCCCCCCCCCCCCCCCCACCCCCCCCCCCCCCCCCCCCCCCCCCCCCCCCCCCCCCCCCCTCCCCCCCCCCCCCCCCCCCCCCCCCCCCCCCCCCCCCCCCCCCCCCCCCCCCCCCCCCCCCCCCCCCCCCCCCCCCCCCCCCCCCCCCCCCCCCCCCCCCCCCCCCCCCCCCACCCCCCCCCCCCCCCCCCCCCACCCCCCCCCCCCCCCCCCCCCCCCCCCCCCCCCCCCCCCCCCCCCCCCCCCCCCCCCACCCCCCCCCCCCCCCCCCCCCCCCCCCCCCCCCCCCCCCCCCCCCCCCCCCCCCCCCCCCCCCCCCCCCCCCCCCCCCCCCCCCCCCCCCCCCCCCCCCCCCCCCCCCCCCCCCCCCCCCCCCCCCCCCCCCCCCCCCCCCCCCCCCCCCCCCCCCCCCCCCCCCCCCCCCCCCCCCCCCCCCCCCCCCCCCCCCCCCCCCCCCCCCCCCCCCCCCCCCCCCCCCCCCCCCCCCCCCCCCCCCCCCCCCCCCCCCCCCCCCCCCCCCCCCCCCCCCCCCCCCCCCCCCCCCCCCCCCCCCCCCCCCCCCCCCCCCCCCCCCCCCCCCCCCCCCCCCCCCCCCCCCCCCCCCCCCCCCCCCCCCCCCCCCCCCCCCCCCCCCCCCCCCCCCCCCCCCCCCCCCCCCCCCCCCCCCCCCCCCCCCCCCCCCCCCCCCCCCCCCCCCCCCCCCCCCCCCCCCCCCCCCCCCCCCCCCCCCCCCCCCCCCCCCCCCCCCCCCCCCCCCCCCCCCCCCCCCCCCCCCCCCCCCCCCCCCCCCCCCCCCCCCCCCCCCCCCCCCCCCCCCCCCCCCCCCCCACCCCCCCCCCCCCCCCCCCCCCCCCCCCCCCCCCCCCCCCCCCCCCCCCCCCCCCCCCCCCCCCCCCCCCCCCCCCCCCCCCCCCCCCCCCCCCCCCCCCCCCCCCCCCCCCCCCCCCCCCCCCCCCCCCACCCCCCCCCCCCCCCCCCCCCCCCCCCCCCCCCCCCCCCCCCCCCCCCCCCCCCCCCCCCCCCCCCCCCCCCCCCCCCCCCCCCCCCCCCCCCCCCACCCCCCCCCCCCCCCCCCCCCCCCCCCCCCCCCCCCCCCCCCCCCCCCCCCCCCCCCCCCCCCCCCCCCCCCCCCCCCCCCCCCCCCCCCCCCCCCCCCCCCCCCCCCCCCCCCCCCCCCCCCCCCCCCCCCCCCCCCCCCCCCCCCCCCCCCCCCCCCCCCCCCCCCCCCCCCCCCCCCCCCCCCCCCCCCCCCCCCCCCCCCCCCCCCCCCCCCCCCCCCCCCCCCCCCCCCCCCCCCCCCCCCCCCCCCCCCCCCCCCCCCCCCCCCCCCCCCCCCCCCCCCCCCCCCCCCCCCCCCCCCCCCCCCCCCCCCCCCCCCCCCCCCCCCCCCCCCCCCCCCCCCCCCCCCCCCCCCCCCCCCCCCCCCCCCCCCCCCCCCCCCCCCCCCCCCCCCCCCCCCCCCCCCCCCCCCCCCCCCCCCCCCCCCCCCCCCCCCCCCCCCCCCCCCCCCCCCCCCCCCCCCCCCCCCCCCCCCCCCCCCCCCCCCCCCCCCCCCCCCCACCCCCCCCCCCCCCCCCCCCCCCCCCCCCCCCCCCCCCCCCCCCCCCCCCCCCCCCCCCCCCCCCCCCCCCCCCCCCCCCCCCCCACCCCCCCCCCCCCCCCCCCCCCCCCCCCCCCCCCCCCCCCCCCCCCCCCCCCCCCCCCCCCCCCCCCCCCCCCCCCCCCCCCCCCCCCCACCCCCCCCCCCCCCCCCCCCCCCCCCCCCCCCCCCCCCCCCCCCCCCCCCCCCCCCCCCCCCCCCCCCCCCCCCCCCCCCCCCCCCCCCCACCCCCCCCCCCCCCCCCCCCCCCCCCCCCCCCCCCCCCCCCCCCCCCCCCCCCCCCCCCCCCCCCCCCCCCCCCCCCCCCCCCCCCCCCACCCCCCCCCCCCCCCCCCCCCCCCCCCCCCCCCCCCCCCCCCCCCCCCCCCCCCCCCCCCCCCCCCCCCCCCCCACCCCCCCCCCCCCCCCCCCCCCCCCCCCCCCCCCCCCCCCCCCCCCCCCCCCCCCCCCCCCCCCCCCCCCCCCCCCCCCCCCCTCCCCCCCCCCCCCACCCCCCCCCCCCCCCCCCCCCCCCCCCCCCCCCCCCCCCCCCCCCCCCCCCCCCCCCTCCCCCCCCCCCCCCCCCCCCCCCCCCCCCCCCCCCCCCCCCACCCCCCCCCCCCCCCCCCCCCCCCCCCCCCCCCCCCCCCCCCCCCCCCCCCCCCCCCCCCCCCCCCCCCCCCCCCCACCCCCCCCCCCCCCCCCCCCCCCCCCCCCCCCCCCCCCCCCCCCCCCCCCCCCCCCCCCCCCCCCCCCCCCCCCCCCCCACCCCCCCCCCCCCCCCCCCCCCCACCCCCCCCCCCCCCCCCCCCCCCCCCCCCCCCCCCCCCCCCCCCCCCCCCCCCCCCCCCCCCCCCCCCCCCCCCCCCCCACCCCCCCCCCCCCCCCCCCCCCCCCCCCCCCCCCCCCCCCCCCCCCCCCGCCCCCCCCCCCCCCCCCCCCCACCCCCCCCCCCCCCCCCCCCCCCCCCCCCCCCCCCCCCCCCCCCCCCCCCCCCCTCCCCCCCCCCCCCCCCCCCCCCCCCCCCCCCCCCCCCCCCCCCCCCCCCCCCCCCCCCCCCCCCCCCCCCCCCCCCCCCCCCCCCCCACCCCCCCCCCCACCCCCCCCCCCCCCCCCCCCCCCCCCCCCCCCCCCCCCCCCCCCCCCCCCCCCACCCCCCCCCCCCCCCCCCCCCCCCCCCCCCCCCCCCCCCCCCCCCCCCCCCCCCCCCCCCCCCCCCCCCCCCCCCCCCCCCCCCCCCCCCCCCCCCCCCCCCCCCCCCCCCCACCCCCCCCCCCCCCACCCCCCCCCCCCCCCCCCCCCCCCCCCCCCCCCCCCCCCCCCCCCCCCCCCCCCCCCCCCCCCCTCCCCCCCCCCCCCCCCCCCCCCCCCCCCCCCCCCCCCCCCCCCCACCCCCCCCCCCCCCCCCCCCCCCCCCCCCCCCCCCCCCCCCCCCCCCCCCCCCCCCCCCCCCCACCCCCCCCCCCCCCCCCCCCCCCCCCCCCCCCCCCCCCCCACCCCCCCCCCCCCCCCCCCCCCCCCCCGCCAATAGGACCTAAAATAACGCAAAGCATCACCCGAAACTAGCTTCGATATAAAGAACAAACAAATTGTGATTTCGATTTACGCAGTTAAGCTTATTCCGTATCTTTGGTAATACAACATAGGAAATGTCAAGTATTACAATATTTACAATCACTACAGTTGTATGAGATTTTGTATTCACACGCACAGGATTAATGCCCATCGTTACATTCTAGGTGAAAACATTTGATCGATCCCCTTGGATTCCTCCAGTAAGGAACTAAATAAATAAACATGTGGTATATTCGTTGGCGATGCGAGGTGCAGTCCAACTATGTGGTCTGATCATTGTGCACAGCAGGATCGCACAAAATAATCAATTGTTCATGCTTTATAGAATGGATCCAGCACGGGTATAAACTAATTATCAGGTTTAAGGTATTAAAGAACTTAAAAAGCCAGGAACAATAACATATGCAGATTTAAGCACATGTTCAGGTAAAGTAATACAGCCACTCGTGCACCCGTCCCCAGGGTACCTACTTCCATGCAAAGTATTCCCTCGAAAGGTTTTGCCCGCACTTCCATGCAATACCTGGCCGCGTGCCCGTGTGGCGTATTAGCATATGAGCCATCACCTGTTTATCAGTGTTGTGTTCTTTTTAGGGCTGCCTTTATACATATATTATGGGCAATGAAGCCTCAGCCCAGTCCGCCATGCGGATCAATTATGGCACACCTTTTGTACGCCAGTCATTTGGTGGCAATGTGCCTTGTATAGGTAAATTCTTTTGTGATCTGAAAGCTATAATCCATCACTTCAGGAGATCAGCCCAGTCGTGTTCAACAATGAAATAAGGAAGAATGTAAAAGAAGAAAAATTGTGTGAAAGAGGTCTTATATCGTTAGTGCCAAAAATAAGTAGGTGTGCTTTACATCAGCATAAAAATGGATCGAGCAGATCATACGACGGAATAGTGCGGCGTGACAAACGGAGACAGATAACTGCACGACTTGTCCATAGGCAAAAAGTCAAATAGGGAATCCGTTATTACCATCACTGAATTCCAGTATCTGTTTCTGGACTGTTAACTCCAGAAAAGAATGGGGAATTGTTAGCATTACAGAACAAATGTAGCGAAGGGAATCGCAGAACAAATCTTACCTATTAGTCAATTTGAGGTGGGGAATACGAAGGCAGTTTCTGATCCCATTCAAGTAAACAATTTTACTCCCGGTTTTAGATCAGAAGCCGGTTGGTATGATTTAAATTTGCAAGGAGTAAAACCGCATAGGGGGTTGCCTTAAAGAAGAGCCTAAAAAGCGGTTGTAATGGATCACCATAGATGATCATTTTTGCTCTGGTGCATTTGTTGGATATGTTTCGAGTCGATGTTCTCCGTTATCATACATGATCCGACTCTTCTTCATACAGCTTTTTCTTCATCAAATTGAATTTTCAAGATCCATTTGACTTCATCAGTTGACAGACAAATCTTTATCATGTTCTTGAACATGCAAAATTCAGTACATCTAATCTCTTTTAGCAGCTTATTCCATATGGAGCCATACCTAAGAAGGTAGAAATTTCTCCTTAGGTTGGTCTTGAATTTAGGTAAAGACAATATACATTCACTACCTCGCAGTTCATAAATGGTATTATCCCGAAAGTACAATTGATACGTTTCAACATATCTTTTCCGCCACGTGAGTTTGTGGAGGAAGCACGGATTTAATTCATTCTTCATAATCACAGAGGTTCAAGATTCAGCTGCTTGCACCTATCTCTGTATGAAAGAGCGGTTGAATAACCGAATATGTGCTTAGTAAAGGCGCGCTGAACGTTTTCAATGGCTCTCAAGCCACAGTTTCTCAAGTTACAGTAAGTAACACAGCAATATTCAAGCGAAGGCCTGATACTCATTTTGAAAGCAATTAGTCTGGTTTCTTTCAAGGTTAGCAGGTGGCATATGAGCCCGATCGACTGCTTAGCCTTTTTCACGATATGCTTTGTAGGTGCTAAAGTTTAACGAATTAGAGTATCTCAAAACTAAGTTACGAACAAACTGCCTGCTGGGAATGACTTCGTAATGAAGCCTGAACAATTCTGCCGCTATCTGACATCCATATGCCAGAATACAACGCTTCGATGTTGCAAACGTCATCTGCCACATATCAGCCCATCTCTAAATGACTTCCAAATCGCTTTGGATATTGTTAAGTTCAGCGGTACGCTGAGAACCTGGGAGGTGTAAACCACTTTTAAATCATCAGCAAACAAATAAGGCTTCCCAAAGTTAATAACAGAAACCAGATCACTTATATACAGTAGGAAGAGTAACGGACCTAAGACACTGCCCTGTACCACTCCACTGATGACCAGACGAGGTGAAGAGACGTAACCATTGATATCCACCACTTGCGACCGTCCTATTGGGTACGATTAGATCCAAAAGTGAAGCGGATTTGTAACACCGTACTTATTTAATTTATATAGCAGCTTCTTGTGTGGGGCTGTCAAACGCTTTTCGCATGTCCAGGAAGATGACAATGCACTGAAGACCTGAGTCAATTGCTTCCGTTAGATGGTTAAGGAAGTCAACTTGACAGGAAACACACGAGCGGGACTTCAGAAAGCCATGCTGTGAAGGTGAGAGAAGTTTGTGTGATAACAGGAACGAAACCAAACGTTCATTAACAATTATCTCTAGCATGCGTGAGAGAAAGGCAATGTGGCTAACGGGGCAGCAGTGCCGGATATCACTTTTCGACCCGGACTTATGTCTCGGTACGACCGTAGCCGTTTTCCAACCTTCGAGATTTTCACCAGACTGTAGTGACGAAGAGAAGACATTCACTACTATAAGTAGGATACTATCTTCATCGTATTTGACTAAAACACAAGAGATCCCATTGGGGCCAGGTCTGTAGGATGGTCGTAGACAGGCAATCATACGTTTTATCATAGCGACACTAAGCTCGATCGCTGAAACTTGCTCAGAGAAGTTAAACGAGGTTGACAATTTCAGGGCTTCTCTTTCAACATTAAAGGATCTAGCAAAGTATGAGTTAAAGGCTTCCGCCATGGCAATTGGGGAATCAATGCATTCGCCTTCAGGCATGACGATGCGGGAGGGTAGGTCAGTTTTGCAGCCTCTCCTTCTTCTCAATAATGCAGTCAACAGTTGCCTTGTATTACTACTATTTACAGCCCGTTGTTCTTCCTGCATGAGACGGGTGTGGTGTATCATGTCCGTTTCAATTATAAGGCGTTGGAGTCTCAGTAATACGCTGAAGTCGTGAGTAGGTTCATATGTTCTAGTTAGCACTCGTATTTTTCGCTTGTCCTTTGCGTTGTTGGCGTACTTAGAAGAGGCCCTCGTATTATCACGAGAGGCAAGTACGCCTAAGAACATAGTCACATTGTCATAGCAGATGTGAGAAGCCCCCTTAATATCAGACGAAAGAAAGAAATGGTCCCAATTTTGGACCACAAGCAGAGCTGAGGAATCTACCCAATTGACATTTTGCAGGAAGTGTGAAAACACCGCTGACCTCACATGCGACAACTCAGCCATAATTTTACATCCGGCTATTTTGTGATTACATCCATGGAGACCATCAATTACATCAGTAGCTATCGGGGAGGTGTCTGGAGTAAAAAGTAGGTTTAGTATATTTTTACCCCTGGTAGCCACGGGAACATGTTGTTCCCAATCACCAGTGATGGCGGAGATTATGAACTCAGCACGTTTCGCGTTTGTTTGATCAACGTATATCTGGTAGGTTGATATCTCTACCTATGACTTTATCAAAAGAACTAACTTCCGACATATAACTGAAAATGTCAACCAACTGGTTCTCATCACTGAAGCTGGTCCTGGGTGAGCGGTATATACAGCCTACAAGAGTTCACTTAGTACTGAACGACAAGAGTAACCAACCGGAATCAGTAGTGGGGCATATAACTAAAATTGTGAATGCAGAGACAAGGAGGTTTTGTGAGTAGTTAAATATGCAACCACCTCCTCTACCTTGCTTTCGATCACTTCTACTAAGCTTGTAACCTTCGATAGAAAGCAGTTGGCTGGGCACAGAATCATGGCACCAGGTTTCAGTGAGTAAAATCATATCAGGTTTATTCAGACATATGAAGGAGCGGAATAAATGAAACTTATTCAACAGAGAAAGGATATTAAGTATCATCAGTCTTACAAAGTTGTGGCGGTGTTCATCATTCCACCCAGTATTTACTTTTGCATTCCCATTAGTTCTAGAGCCTTCCGCAGCAAATCTCTTACCGTGAGATTCGTCGTTCCTATCGGGTTTAGAGGGAGTGGGGGAATGCAAAAAGAATGCTGTGGTAATTTGGAGCGATTAAGTGGATAGGGTGTTTTGCCGAAGGGCTCGTAGAAGGCATTGTGAGAGAAAGAGGCGGAAGATAGTATAGAGAGAGGCGTAAATAAGTGGTCTGTGTTTCAGTAAAGCCATGTACAGGCCTGCTAAGCGAACAGCCTTGGCACATCGCCGGAACAATGGGGAAGTGTGGCTTGCCACTCCGTGTAGCAGCATTATTATTCACGACTGTCATTGGGACACGGGGAGTCACCTTTCCAGCATGAAGGCCCCTGTTTGCTCTAAGACGTTTAGGGCGTGGGCCACGACCATTGCTACTATATGTAGTCATAATGTCAATTTGCCATGATGTGGCCATAGAGTGGCCTAACCAATAATATCCGCGTTTTTAGAGAGGGAGAACCAAACACTGTTGAATGACCTCCTTCTTGGCACTCCAGGACGGGCGCATGAAGGATGGCTCTGCTTCGGCTCAGGCGAGACATTAGTTGCACTCATATGTTGAAGTGCACGTTTCACAGGTGACCTATCTTCGAATAGAATAACTTTGCAAAATTTCGGAACAGATCTTAAAGTATTTTGGCTTTTGATGAACGCACTTGCGAGACTTTCGCTACGAAAGCTAAACAGAGTCGGACAAAGAAACCGTAAACATAATTTCCTCAATCTTCCGCAAATGATATCGGTCTCAGCAATATTGCACGCCCTCGAAACAGTATGTCTAATGTTGTTAAGCATGATATTATCAGCTATGTTAAGGGCGATGCGTTTTTTCCCCTTCTGCATCTTTGGGTAACCTTAGAGGTGACTGCATTTAGGAAGTGTACTGCTCCTGAAAATGATTGCCACAAATATACTGTTGAACTTTCTTGATGCCAAAGATAACTGATCCAGTTCTGAGTAATTGTTCAGATTGTAAAACTCACGAAGCGAAAGTAACCGGATGGATTGCACTATTCTGCATTTCATGTCCCAAAGCCGCTCCAAATCGATATGAAGAAGTATCACGCTGAATGATCAAAGGCTTTTTGTTATCGTGGTGAACTAGAACCGGCTCTGATGCAAGACAGATTTTAGCACAAATGAAAGCGGACTGCTGCTTTCATTCCACAACCACGGAGCTTTTCTATCTAGCAGTGCATTCAAAGGTGCTAAAATAATTGACGCTCCCGGTAAAAATGACGGTAGTATGATAACATTTCTAAGACTTATCGGACTTCAACAGCATTCCTAGGCTGCAGTGCCTGCATAATTGGAGATACTTTACCCTGCAAAATATGCAACCTCCTTTTATCAACTTTGTAGCCAAAATAACAAAGAGATTCAGACAAAAACTCACATTTATACTTCTTTATTCTCAATCCATTTGTTTCCAAACGTTTAAACACCGTCAGAAGTGTCTTTAGGTATTCAACATCACGGCGGCGGATATCATCGAAATAAGCACAAGGGTGTATTCCTCAGGATGTCGTCCACAATTCACAAGAAGATGCGGGGGGCTGTTTATTTTGATAATAAGACGGGTATATTGAAATGATCCAAGATGTGTAGTTATGGTGGTTAATTCGCATGCGTCCTCATCAAGTTCCAGTTGAGAATATGCGTGACTAAGATCAAGCTTAGAAAATTTTTGACCATCGGATAACGTAGCCTACAAATCTTCGACGCGTGGCAAGGAATACCTTTCTACCTTGGAAGCTTGATAGACAGTTAACTTAGTCTCCATAGATGCAAATGGTACCGTCGGGTTTGAGCAAAGGAACAATTGGGCTACCCCAATCCGAGCATGATTATGCCTTTGTAGTTTTACTTCAAATTTGGATGCATAGCGTACGGCAAGGTTTGTGCTTTGTAAAACTTGGCATTTGGTGTTCTCCCGTAGATTGATGGAAGCTTTGAAATGTTTCAGCTTTTCCAACCTATTTTCGAGTAAGAAAGAAAATTGGTTCAACAGATTGTTTAGACTACTGTCACTAATCACGACCTCATTAATCTGCATCGTTTCTAGGAAGTCTCGGACCAAATTGCTGCCCAAGAGACTTGGTCTTTTCCCAGGTACCACAATCAAAGTTAGTTAATTCCCGCTCGTCGTGCCTGACTTTAACCCTGCGCATTTCCAATACCCTAAAAAGATCCCCAATGTAGTTCAACAGTTCAATAGTGTATGATGGGATAAAAAGCATTGGCTTTACAAGACCCATAGGATGGTAAATGCAAAATAAATAAAAATCATTAGATTCTGACATGGAACTGAAATGCCAATAGTCTAAACCTAATACATCACACCACAATATGTTGTTTGTCGCTCAGATGAATGTCTAACAATTTTTTGAAGGCTGTAATGTTCGGAGCGTTTACCACATGCGTTGATAAATCATTCCATTGTGAACAGATTCTAAGAGAGTAAAAATATTTTCTACAGTCTAATCGGGAGTGTTGGGTTATCAGCTTGAGGTTATGACCTCTCGATCGCTTATATGAGGCTAGGGTGAGCAGCGATTTGCACGGGTGATCGCTTTCCGTTAATATCCGGTATGCGAGAATGAGATCTCCGCGTAATCGTCGGTATTCGGAGGAAAACATTCCGATTAAACTGAGACGCACTTCATAATTGAGACCAGATAATCCGCGTGTTGCCTTCGTAGCTCTTCGTTGGGGCTGCTCTAAGAGGTGAATGTCCCGTTTTAACCATGGGCACCAAGCCTGGACGGCATATTCGACGTGGGGACGGATATAGGAGTTGACAAGCATGGGTACCAACTGTCGTTCAAAAACACCCAAAACTCGCCTTAAAAGTCTCAGATTCATGTTCGCCACGTTTGCGCTTTCGAACATTGGAGCGAATTCCCCATACTTTCTTGCACAATGATACCTAAGTCTCTTTCTGTGGTCACGCGCCGTAAAACCTACTGCCCCAAGAGGTACGTGTTGGTAAGATTGCTGCGCAATGACAGTAGGTGACACCTGGCAGGATTCAGGGGGAGGTGGTTTATATCTGACCATTTGTTGATTCGATCCAAATCATTCTGGAGGAGGTCACAGTCTGATGTTGAGCGAATAACCAGATTTTTGCGTCATCTGCAAAGATTTGCATCGAGGATTGAATATTATCCGGGAGGTCGTTAATGTAGACCAGAAAAAGAAGGGGATCAAGGACGGATCCTTGAGGAACACCGCTGGAGATGCAGAGGGTTTCCGAGAGGGCATCGGCGACTCTGACCTTGATCGTTCTGTCATGCAAATATGCTGCTAGACAGGTGAGTAGGGAACCATGGATGCCGTAGGCACGAAGCTTATGAAGCAGAGCTAAGTGATTGACTCCGTCGAATGTCTTCGAAAAGTCTAGGTAAATCACATCAAGGGGGATCCTTCATCAAGCGCTTTGGTCCATGAATCCCGAGCAAGAAGCAGATTTGTGAGGCAAGATCGTTTGCGCCTAAAGCCGTATTGGAGGTGAGAAATTAGCTTCAGACTCTCAAAATATCGTGTAATTGCATCTGCAACTAACGATTCCATTACTTTTGATAACACAGGGAGGAGAGTAATGGGTCGGTAGTTGGCAGGATCCGATCGCTTACCTCCTTTGTATATCGGAGTGACTATCCCGCTTTTCCACTCAGACGGAAGTGTTTGGGAATTGAGTAGACTTTGGAAAAAGCTTGCGAGGTGTGCTGCTATGGTGGGAGCAAGTGTTTTAAGAACTTTGGGTCTGATCTTGTCGACTACCGGAGCGCTATTTTCTCTTAGAGACCGTAATTTGCTAGCGACAGCTGCTGAAGTAAAACTGACAGTTGATATGCCGACCACGTTGGGTGAATGCTGGTTTGGCAAAGGTTCTATGGCGTTTGCAGTCACTGTGCCAAACTGCAGAAGTAATGCGTTCGCAGCATCCACAGCAGTAGTCGTCAGGCCACCATCCGTCTTGAGTGGTGGTATTCCTGTTTTAACTTTCCTTCTGCTGTTCACGTACCTGTACAGCAGTTTTGTTTTGTTCGTGAATTTAAGTACCATGTTTTTTGCCATTCGTACTTATGGGCTCTAATCAGTAATGTGCAATAGTTCCTCACTATTTTGTAATTCTCCCAGGTGGCGTCGCAATTGTTCAGCGCGTATTGTCTCCATATCTCGTCTCTGGTGCTAATCCATTTACGCGTTCTGCTTCGGATCCAGGTGTTGGTCCGGCGCGGCACTCGTAACGGTATGACTTTAGAGGCTGCTTGCGTGACACAGCTAATTTTGTCTTTTAGTTCGTTCCACGCGCCGTCTGCCGTGCTCCACAGATTGAGGTCCCAGTTGACTGTTGTCGCTAGGCTGTGAAGCACGGAATAGTTGGTTATAGTTCGTCGGTTTTCATGTCTGATTTCAGTAGTATTGGTGTAACACACATAGGCAAAATTTAACACTAAGTGGTCACTGTTGCCTAATGGTGGGTCGTATGAAATTGTCTCAATCATCAACTCTTCGTTGGCTAGGATTAAATCCAGAAGCGATGGCTTATTTGAACTGCGGTGTCTAGTTGGTCGGTGCACGTGGTTGTACAGAGCTGCTGTATCCATAAACTCGAGAATCTTTGATTTGAAGTAAGGACCACTAGAAGTCGCTGAGACAATTGAGGTTACATTAAAATCGCCCATGATTAGACAATGTGAGTACTTTTGAGAAACTGCATAATGAAGCGCGTTTAACAGAATGTCATCTCGGTCTGCGGTGGAGTTCGGTGGCCTGTAGACAACTGCCAACAGACAAGCATCCCACGTCTTCTTCGAAAGTTCACCACCTCGGCCATTTAGCTGCATTCGGCAAAACAAAGCGTCGGAGACAGCAAGGTGACGTGCGTTGATAGCCTCACATCTCAGACAATTCCGATAGTACAGAGCAACGCCGCCACCGCGAGATGGACGATCATTGCGAATAACTGACATATCACTGATTTCGATTTCCGTGTCGAGCATGTCATTGGAGAGCCAGGTTTCAGTTACAGCTTTGATATCCCAATTGATTGTGTTATGTCGATGGCGCAATTCAGGTAGCTTAGAGTTGAGCCCCTGAGCGTTTGTGTAGCGGCACTGTATCTGTTGACACATTAGGAGCTCGGTTCGTTGTGGTTGACCGGCACGGATTGTGCCGGTCTGCGTGCGTTTTTTGTCAGAGGCGTTTGCACATTTGTCTGACCTGAGTTAGGAACAACCGAGTCCGGTTCGTCTGTATCTGTAGCCCGTACTTTGTTTAGGAACGGTCTTAAACGTCCTTCAGGTGGCCCACGTTTTCTGTTGTCGTGCCACGCTTGGACGGCCGTTGATACCATCTCAGGTGTAGCTACGGTGACTTTCAAAATTTTTGGCCCGTTACCCTGATATTTTAAGGAGGCCGCTAGACGGGTGACATCGAAAGTCACGATATTTTGTATGTTCTAGAGCTCCGTTATGTACTTTCACTCTTCTATCTCGTGCTTCTGATGTTCATCTATATCGCCATGCTTAAGTTCTGGAACACCGTGGACCAGCACTACTTTCTTCGTCGCACCATGTCGTGCCTCGACTGGATCGGATTTCCATTTTTGCCTTTCTATCCATGGTTTATCTGGGAAAATGCGGGCGCTGAGAGAGGAATTCGTTAGCTTGTGACCTGTCAGGAGCACATCCTCCAGGTCGCGTGTGTTACCAAATGTTACTCGTAATAACCGAGGTTGTCCTAAATGCGGCGAGGATGAATTTCGGGAAATGCGCATAAGACTAGTTGGAGGAACGTTAATTTCGAGAGCACAGCATATCTCTGCCCAGCGGTTTTGTTCTTCCACTTGTCTACCTTTTAACGACTCGCTTGTGAGCTCTGGTACATTTGAACACATAAATGTCAGAGCTTTTTTGTTGTACACTAACTGCTTATCCTGAGAGTTGTTACTGGTGGACATTTGTCAAGTTTGAGTACTCATCTTGTCCCTTGTGCAAGGAGAGCATGCGCTGCTACATGACTGCATACGCGGAACGCCGTTTGTTGTGCTGTTTGTGGGGGTCAAATGTTGCTGTCCAACCGGTGACAGGGTTGAGCGTGCAGTTTTTACATAGCTGTTTAAGCCTTGAGACACTTCACAAAACTTGGGAGGTCGTTCGACAGGCCTGTCTTCGCTGGCGTCCATCAACAATGGTGTGCTATTTTCACGGTACTGTGTGGCTTCTTTACTAAATGGCTCTCGCCTTTTGACAGGTCTAGGATTCGGGCTACTTAATACACTAATCTGCGACTCAAGTTCAGTGGGTTTTTTTACCAAGCTAGTAGTCAATTCCTTTTGTTCTGTGACCGTTAGGGCTAAACTTTTACATTTCGCCATAAGCGCTTGAATGAGCCTGGCCAACGGTTTGGTTGAACATGCGTCACACACACACACACAAGCCGTCGATCGACATAGTGTTTTGTAGCCCCATCGAAGGAATTGGAACAAAGCGAGCATGTGGTGACCGACGTGTCTGGACCACTATTGACCTGGATTTGTTGTTCATTT